GGTATGTTTCAAAGCGGACACATCTGCTTAATATATGATCAGTCCCACACAAAAGTTCTAGGGGAAATTATTCCTTGTGGATAAAAATGAAGATGGATAAAAATTGAAGTCCTTTAGTAAGTTGACCTTATATTTTAACGTTGGGAGCAGGATTACACCTACTAGGATTTGGATCAAATGAGGATGGATGAACATTGAGAAGGAGAAGATAGAAACGCCTCTAAGGTCTTTGGGATGAGGAAGAAATTACAATAGAACAAAGGGAGTAGGAGAGCCAGAAACATCAATGTGTGAGAAATATCCCAGAAATATCAAAGAAAAGAGGGAGAAATGGTGAGAATGTGGGATGTGGGAAATTAAAGGTCTGTTCCTCTCCCCTCACTCAAACTCTTAGGATCAGGAATCACATTTGAAAATAAATTTGGGATATGGGACTAAAATATTTGCTCAATGAAAGGGACCAAAAGCAAAAAATAAACTGTGTCACAAGCCTGCGTTATTATCACGATCACAAACATCAATGCCTGGAGTTACAACTATATCATCAATGCATTTTTTTTTACATCTATCTCATGCCATGAAAAGGTTAATAGCCCTATTAAAATATAATTTATATGTTTATAATTGATAGAAAAGTGAAGGGTTGTCAGGAAAATCAAAGCAGTTCAAAAAGGAATTGAACATTGAAACCATGAAAACTTTGGAAAAAATACACGAAAGTAAGGAAAAAGCGTGCATATTACTTACTAGAGATGAAAAGATGAAAACATAAGATAAGAGGATGTACGGTATCCGGCTGCCATCACAATGTCTTGCGACGAAGAAAAATCCGATTTGATTGAGACCGTATCGAACGTATGTTGACGTGAAAATCACTACACATATTTTACGCGAGCCGCTTTTGTTTTGAAGATGACTTATGTTTTCTTTTTCACTAGTGCTTTTATTATCCATGTTTATACACAATAGGTATTCATCAAAGGAACAATGAGCATAACAAAGATTCACTCAATATTACACGAAAAAAAGGCCTTTTCCTCGCATAATAAATAAGAATTACAAACAAATGCTGCTTTGCTGGATAGATTCACAGTGTTTCGGTATTTCAACACATAAATTATTAGTTTAAACCACCCAGTTAGTCAAGTTATTAACGTATGAATATAAGCTTTAAATTCGTACCTGATGTCATTTGGACAGCTCATAAACATGTGCTTCAGGTCTTCAAAGTTTTTCTTCGTTTAAATGAATAAATGCCACAGTTAAAAAGTTTCTGGCTGTGCTTTGAGCTGTTCTTCTTGAGCCTGTTGCTAGCAAAATTCGGTTTTCTTGCACCACAGTAAGACCTTCATCATAATGTGAAGCAAACAGGCGCCATGCCGAAAATATCCTTGTTTATATCCATATCTTATTTTATAGCTCATATACTTTGTGTAAACGTGAATAATTCTGAACAAAACCAATAACATATGCAGCTTTCATTCAACTTTGCTTTCCTGTGAAGTAATTTTCACGAACTTCGTAAAGTATGGGCCATTCCAGAATGAAATGAAAGAAGTGCGTGTTTTCGACTTTCGACCAAGCGAAGCCACAGGAAGCCCACAGACAATGTGTACTACGCATGCGTGTCCTTGTCTTTTTGAATACTGGCGCGAGAACGCCACTTTTTTTATTGATTTTTTTTTGTGTGAAATAACAAGATTCAAACAAAAAAGTAAATCACCATGACTATGATATCATGCGATTATTTTTAATTTCAAGCCGTCATATTTAGAGAAGGATGAGAAGGATTAATCTTTGTGTTGTGGATTTTCGCCGCAACATTCAGGGGGTAGACTTCTTAGGCAAGTCTCATTATAGAATTATAGCAAACTTTCATTTTGACGTATTCAGCTATAACACGAAGTAAAATGCCCCCTAAACAGAGTCTATTTTATGCATAAAATATTTTTTTTCAGAATATCGTAGGTTAGCCTGTGTACAACCGTTTCTCAATGTTTTGGAGGGGTGAGAAACGGATGTACACAGGCTAATCGTAGGTCCCCTTTCAAGAAAAAGTTCATTTAATTGAACGTTTTCCTTTTTTTTCTCAGAAAAATATTGTCTAAAGAGGCAAGATCACGGTATTTCTGCACGCACCACATTTCGATGACATTGCCTCAGTTTTGTGGGATTTACAAACTGGCTTGTTCTCAGAATTTGATGGTCCCTGATACATCTGGCATTAAAATGCAGGTCATTTAATAAAGTTTATTGGTACTGTGGTTGACCGAAAATTACGAAACCTTTGGTATTATTTTCTTTGTGCAAAGTGGAATGATTTTGCTTTTGGTATAATTTCTCGAATTTTACGTCTAAGCTGATACAAAGCCTGGGTGGCTGAGACGGTTGGAATAACTGTCTTGACAACTTGACAACGGTCATGGTCATTTGATAAGAAAAAATGGTCTAAAAACAAATTTGAGTGAGTTTTCTGTCTGAGACGTGACGGATCGTTGAGGAGGGTCCTGAAGGGGGGCATCCAATCCCAATTCCCAAATGACATCATATCCCAATCCTTCCAGTGGTACTGCATAAATTAAGTATTAATTGATGATTTTCACCCATTCCCATGAGATTCAAAAGATAAAAGACCGGCGGCCATGTTGGACGAATGAACAATAGATATTAATGAAAAATCCTTTGTTAAAGGTCCTCCAAGATGGCCGCTGTGAAAACGAAGAATGGACTCTTTAACTAATTGAAACTATGCAAATCAGGTGATATTCTGGTATGTTTATACGATTATGATCATGATCATAGCAGACTTCGCATAGTGAATTTTGAGTGATTCGTGTTGTTATTGTTATTGTTATTCGTGTTGTTATTGTTATTCGTGTTGTTATTGTTATTGTTATTGTTATTGTTATTGTTATTGTTATTGTTATTGTCGTTGTTGTTGTTGTTGTTGTTGTTATTGTTGTTGTTATTGTTATTGTTATTGTTATTGTTATTGTTATTGTTATTGTTATTGTTATTGTTATTGTTATTGTTATTGTTATTGTTATTGTTATTTATCATTACATGGCGATTCGTCAGTGTCAGAATTTCACGATATCCTGAGACTTACACTTGTCGTTAAAGTGGATCGGTCTAGACTAACGAAA